TATTGCTAACTGAAAATTTTAAGGAGTTCTCTTCTGATTTCAAGCAAAAATCAGGCAAATCTTAGACAAAACTTGCACAGGTACATTATTGCAAAAAATCAAATAGTTTGAGTAAATTTTGCAATCTTGGAAAACGATTACGTTCCTTCGTCCAGGGAACTACGTATTTACACGCCGAAATCATAAATGACGCAGCACATGCTTCTGTTGCTCCTATAAATCCACTGAAAAATAAGAGAAAATAGAACGAAATCTTTCACGAGCCCCATTCTTCGCACGCGGCGAGACGTGAGACGGTTGACTGTTTCACCGCGACTTTGTTGACTATAGGACCCAAACGAGGAACCCACCCATCGAAGGGGGTAGACGGCACGCGACAAAAACCGCTTCCCGGTATTGGGGTGACGATGGAGGCATTCGATGTCATCGATTTCCGGGCGTCGGGGTAAACAGGGCGAAAGGGAGGTGTAAAGAAGGACCTGCAAATTCGACGAATAGCTTTTCAGCCGACGAATGGCGCTTAAAACTCCTCGACGCTAGTCGGCTGTAACTTTAGCTTCGGTCGGCAATCCTTCCGTCGTTCCCAAACGAAATAACGTAGCTACATCTCAACGTTACAAATCTTTCACTCGCAAATCGCATTCTTATCATTAAACTAGTGGGCTCGAAAATTCCACAAGTTTCTCCTCTGATTAACAGGTAAAATCAGCAAAATTTTGGGGGAAAATGAATTTTTCAGTCAATTTTGCAACATTGGAGTGGAGTTAAGTTACTTCGTCTGGGTCTTGACGCTTTGTCTCTGGAATTAAATTTTGAACGAAGCTCTCTCTGCTCGAGTCGAACCGGTGATGTTCGGTTTTGACATGAGCCACTTTGACAGTGCTCTTACGTTAAATTACTCGAAACAGTAGGCAAACTCTGTCACAGGGATAGTCGGCGAGGCTATGTTTTAAGTTGGTTACCGACTAGGTTAGATTTTAAGTTAGTTACGTTGGAGGCTCTACGCTTTCAGAGTAGCGCCCGCTAAGTGGGGTCAAATAAGTCCTTGAAACAAAGAATGCCGATTTGCGTTAAAAATCTGATTAGTGGCGTTAATGTTTTTGGTAGCCCTTACGGAGAATCTGAATGATAAAAGAAAGAGTTCCGCCTCTAAGTTGCGCTGTTCTGGCGGTCTTCGTCTTAAAGCAATCATGATTGAAAAAATAATCTACAAACTAGTTTAAGGAACTGCTCCATAAAGTTCAGCGGCATTAATGCTGAGTAGTAAGACATCGAATTTGTTACGGTTCATTCAAGATTCATATTAAAAACCAAAATGGATCAAGGATATAGATTTCTGTATAAAATGCACTCTGAATTTTATTCCAAGGTTTTTAGCATTTTAATCTCCGAAAATAGCCCGTGATATTGAAAAAGTCCTTCCTATAATGTATAGGACATTTTAAAAAAGAAAATTTAATAATAGTTCGTAATTCGAGGGACTCTTAATTCCAAAATATTGTAAGTCGAAAGTTCTGTCTGAAAATATATGAAACTTCGTACACTTTCAAAATTCGACTCTCTGCTTGATTATTTGCCGGCGACACCTTTACACTTCACACAGCCTTGTACTGACATTAAGTACCGGGCATTCAATTTTAATCTATTCTCATCACAATTTGATCGTGAAAATCAACGATAACTTTTGGAAATTGAACGCTGGATACTTGTGATGCGATATTTAAAATAAAGGAAATAACACGTAACAGGGTACATAACAATTAAAGAGGTGAATGAAATAACAGCATATCTAATACACGGCTAGATGCAAGAATATTACACTTGGTCCAAAGCATTCAAGTCGGTTTACTTGAAAAATGGAAGTCAAAAAAGATATATAATTTTTTATATATTGTTTCATATAGCACTCATTTCATTTATTGTGGGAATTTCATAAAAAGTATTATTACGAAATTTAAATTTTACAATAAACACAATAATTGCAAAGCATCTCGTTATGTAAAAACACATGTGTTTGACTCCCATTTCACAAAACGACATTGTCAATTTAGACCGAAATTTTAAGAAGCTTCTTGAGTTGGAATCTTTATGATACGATGTATGTGTATACTTTTGAATACCGATATACACTCGAGTTAATGTCAAAGAGTTTAAAGAAACGTCTTAAAATTTCAGTCTCGATGACGAATATCTACCTAAATCACGTAGAATAAAAACCTCGTGACGATTTCCTTCCAAATTTCCTTCAAAAACGAGCCTTTCGTAGCTTCGGAAAACTTCATACACAGAACCACGGTTGATGAAAACGAGGCATCAATTTGAGAATACTTCCAATCGCACTAATTAAACGGGAGGCATTTGAAAACTTCAAGGATGCCTTAATCACACCGCACATGAAAAATGTGAACGATCATAACAATGCTTCTTAACCGAAGTCCGAACTGGGTTCAGATAGACTTTTGCGTACTGAGTTATCAAAACAGCGCGGCACACAAAAAAAGAGCCCTCGTGCTTTCAGAACACACATTTTGTCACAAACGGTACTTGGTGAACAAGTCGCTTCAAGTTGCCGACGACAATACACATGAGGTTGTATAAAAACGAAAACAACCCCGCGAACGGAAAATAAAATCGGGCAATAAACGAGACAAAGCGGCAAAGATTTTAACTTCACAGAAAAACTGATTTGGCAGTAAAATGATAAGCAATTTTTTAGCCGGATTCACGCCTGACAGCACACTTTAGGTGGCGAGTTAAATGACATCATAGGATCACACTAGTATGAAAAAAACTAAGCATAAACGGTCGAGCTTATCCATCGCGGAAGAACGAGAAGACACAAGTTTTCCACGCGGTTCGCACGTTACTCCTTGGGGCACCGTTGAAGCGCGACAAGCGTGCTGTCGTTGGGAACCAGCGCGTGCGACTGAACTTCAGACCATGCTGATTTCAGCGCTTCTGCGGCAGGCGAGGGGGAGGGCGGCGGGTGAGGGGATTTTCACCTGCGAGAAAAGCGGGAAAATGAAGTTCACTCTCCCTTATAACCTGCACTTAAATCACCCCCCCCCTTTAACCCCCCGCCCCCGCACTGACCCTCACTCTCCATCGGGGGGTTGTTCACTGATCCGCGTGTCGCTCAAGCACACGGGTTAAAATGCAAAAAGCGGAATAGTTTTAGTTGATGATTCCAAGACTCTCGATACATATCGAGTATCAATATATCCTTCGATTATCAAGCGATAAAACGCGTGCGTCGAAGTTAAAGAGGCCGTAGTTACAATTGCTCTTCAACCAGCTCCTTCCCTCAGGATGTACCATATCGATGGTGAGACTACTGAACCACGTATCTCGGTTTGCGACGTTGCAGACCTCCCGTCATACTTCAATTTTCAAATGGAAAACTACTCAACGTAAATTCTTTGAAAATTCAAAGAATTAGTTTAGAGTTTGTCCTCTTTCAATAAACAGAATGAGAGCTAATATTTTTAAACATTACAAACGCGATAAGAGGTCTGGTAGTTTCACCGTCGTATACTTCACATATTAATTAATTAAGGAGAGTATAAAAGTACTCTTAACACATTATCATAAAATAGACAGTTTTAACAAATATCGCGTAAATTCAAAAGATTAACTTTGAAAATAGATTATTCAAAGGGATTGTGATTGTATGCCGCTAAAAAAATTAAAAGTACAAATGGAAATTTGTTGCAGGTTTTGCAAATTTTAAATTAAGTTTGCACGTCCCTTAAAATCCTTCAAAATTACATACTTTTTCGTCCTTCCTTGTTTGATTTGTTGCGGTGTTAATTCAATAGAATCCTCTGCAATGATTTATTACTGAATTAAATCTGTCAAATTTTTCGCGAGATTCGCCAAATTACAATTGAATGAAACGTACTCCGGAGTCAATGATAAATTTAATTTTCCTGGATATTTCTAAAGGGTGGGGGAATAAACTCGTCTGGATGGAAACAATGTCTTGCAATCAAAAGAAAATTAAATACATGTAAAAGATAATTTTTTTATAAATCAAAGAGAATTTAATGTAATTTGAAAAAAAAATGCAAACCGTTTTATTCCAGAGATTTTTCCCTCTCAAAAAGGCAAGGCAGACTCAGTATAAGATGAGATTCTGTGGAGTCTCCACCGAAGTCCAGGAGATCCGGTGACAGTAAGCTTGGCTTGCGTTATTTTGTCGAGGAGCAGAGGGGCTTTCGAGGTGATTGATATTTGTGCGTATACTGGTCATGGTCAATCGATACGATCTAACTCGGGTCCCCGCGTCTGAAAAAAACGTCCATCTCTCTCATCCTCCCTCAGTTTCTGCTCATGCTCATCTTATTTGTTCACGGATTTTCCAGCCTCCTGCTTGACACGCTCATTTCGGTGAATTGGTTTCGATGTCACTTTACTCTCTGAATCTTGTAAAGTTCTTCATTAAAAAACTAGCCCCCCCCCCCATTTTGGCGCACCCCCAAATCACTTATCGTGCATAAAGAGACTATAGATATGGTCATCCATGCAAATTTTGAATGAAATTGAACAAATAGATTTTGAGATATGGCTGTACATAGAAAAAGGGTACGCCTGACGAACGGACATACATTTTTTCAAGTATGTTCTTTTTCTTTTTACTCTAGGCACCTTGAACGCCTAGAAATGATGAAAAAAAAATTGTTTTATTTTTGGACGATGACAATGCTTCCTCTATCTGCGAGAGGAGCGAAAAAGTAAAACGTTCGATCATGTAAATCAAACGTTCGGCGTTTAAAAACGATCGATTTTCGAAATCCCGGGTAAGAAAGGCGAGTTCCTTTTTTGATGCCACACATGACGTGTGAACTGTCACTTCCGACATAGATTGAATCATGAGAATGCAAGTTGCCTCCCGAAGATTTCACGTGGAAAATAATCAACGATGGTATGAATCAAGGTGAATTTGAAATACTTACTGCGATGAAGTGAAGAAATCATAAATTAATATCGGCGTAATGTTCTTACCTGGAACAATAAAGCATCATCATATACATGTGTCTGCTCAATTAACATATTTCACAAACGTGGAGAAGGTTTATTGCCTAATTTTTATGGTTAACACTTACTGCGTTTGTTGCCAATCTTACCATGTTAGAAGTATATGCTCGAAAAAGTTATTCCTGGCATAAAAAATCGGTTGGTAAACATTACAAATTACATTACAAACATTACAAATTGTATACGAGTACTTGAAAAGCATATTATTGGTAATGTTAAGCTAAACTTGCTTGAGATATCAACCTTTCTTTTCAGTTTTAACCTCAGACAGTTCTAGGATACCTGCAAGAGGTAGGAATAATTTCGCAGGTATCTCACTATCTTATAAAATTACTTTGTTTAACGTTATAACCGAGGAGAATTTAAAAGAAAACGCTCCTCAGATCTGCTGAGGAAAACGAAATTGATAAACAGAGTAGAAAACGGCACAGAAATAGCAATGGATCAGTTGCGCTAATCACAGAATAGTTTGGATGGTTTAAACTCAAACATGAGCAAGAAATATTCATGTATGTTAAAACGTTAGAATAATGCTGCCGTGCTAAGGAAAAACGCCGTATGAACCTTCAGGCTTTGCAAAATTTCTTTTAATAAAACACAAATTTCTCGGTAATCTAATGAATATTTTACTTTCAATTTTTCAGAGAATTTTGTTCGTATTTTGGTCTAAAGTTCCTGAAAATTTCAAGGAAAAATAGTCACAATTTTCCTCCAAAATGAACATGTTATCAAAGGAAATTTGGCAACTCTCGAATTTTCATACGGCATTCTTCCTTAGCACGGCGGAATGGGTCACTTGCGCTAGTTACAGAATCGTGTTCTGATTGTTAAAGTATTAGACTCGCAAAAAATAATAAGAGCAGTTCAACACGAGTAAGGCAAATATAAACGAAGTAACGCTCATTGAAAATTGAAAAACATGAGCCGCCGGGTTTTGCTTCAATTCCATCCTGATTTCATCAATCGGCGATACACAAATTTTGCACTAGTCGCAAGACGTAAAACACAAATGATACCAAGGCGGAAGAAATCACGGCCTGCCTCATGGCGATCAAAAGAGGATCTTCTGATTATAGCGCCTTGATGCAACTATTCGGGCTCTATGGATGTCCATGTTGCATTCTAAAAAATTGAAGGCGTTTTGAATTTGCTTGTCAGCTCTTGCGCAGGTGTAAACTTTATGGTCTGATCAGAAAAGCGGTTGCATCTCGTAGTTTTAATGGACGAGGACGTCACTAAGCGGAATGAGCTTAATTATGCCCGACGTTGCCTGATTTCCTATCATAATATTTTTTATCACGAGATTGCTAAGCAACAACCGGCCTTGAAATTTTGTAAGTATATTCTTCTTACTCTAAAAGAGATGATCGCCAAGAGCGGCAATTTCACCAGTTCCGTCTCTCGAAAAAACGGTGTGTAACGTTATCCACCGTGGTGGTAGATATTATAGTTCCTTTCACCGTGGAATCATCGAAAATACGCTCATTTGAGTCATTACTCAACTTAAAATACACACAAGAAAGCATGGTGGAAGAATCTATGGTATAGAGTATACACTATCACGGTGGAGGATACGCCATGTCCTTTGGAGGGACGATATTTTCGTTCTTATGAAACGTAGAAACTTGTTAATTGGAGGCAAATTAATATTTAACCTGTTACCTTGAAACCATCAGACACGATTTCGTGACAAACGCAACAGGCCCATGCTCTTCCTAAATGTATATTATTACCTCAATTATCAGTTGAACGAACTGGACTGGTAGAAATGGCACAAATTAAAGTATTAACTAAACTAAAGTATTAACTTGTATATGAACGAACTTCACTTAATTTCAATGTTACCAAATTTCCCCAATTTCGGAGAAGGGAAAGGTAGAAAGGGTAAAAGACATATTCGTCGTTTTCCTCGAGAAAGAACGTAACTACATTTCCATGTTGCGGAATGCCCCCCTGCAAATTACATTTCTACCAGGATACACATGGACATTCCTCCCTGAAAATTTTCGAGACTTTCCAAGTCATCTCGCGCAAAAATCAGTAAATTTTTTGACTAAAATCGCACAGGTCTGTATTCACTTGGACGTATTTCTGCCAAACGGAACTATGTGCATTATGACGTGAGCCCTGTTATGCATATATTCTTATGGCTCTCAGGGCTCATGTCTTAATGTGTATAGTTCCGTTTGATAGAAATACGTTCGTTTATGTAAAGAATTAAATCGTTTTAGCCAATTTTGCGACCTTGGAATGGTACAACGTTTTTTCGTGCGGGAAACGTCGCGTAAGGTATTACAGTTTATTTATTGCAGTTGCGACTATCTTTACTCATCACCGATGACGTCACAATGTTTTTGGATCATTGTAAAAATCTGCTTACCTTGATACGAAGGGCCAATCAGACTCAGTAGACGCAGGAGCGGAGGTGGAACGACAGGGTTTCTCGGAGCCGTGACGGAGGTCGCGATCGCCGTGCCAGTCAAGTCGCGGCATTATCTTCAGCGTTATTGGTCGTCGTCGCAGTGAGTAATCTGCACACATCGAACCCATTTTAAATCAAGAGTTTCAAGAATAAGTAACATGATAAAAGACAAGAGAACAGTGTTACGTCTAACACTGTCCTGAAAGGAAATCAAAGCAAGAAAAAACCAAAAATTAGAATGGAGCCCAAGAAAATATAAGACTCAAACCACTAAAATACCGTTACCTATAGAGTTGATGCGAGAGTATGGGCATGTCAGTAATTTGGTAGTTAGGTCATGGAGCTTTTACGGCTAAAAAGGCAGCCAATCTGCGAAATCAAAAGGTCCGGAATTAGTTATTATTACAATTGTTACGACCCATACTCGTTTGTGAAGCGCGTAGTTTTTGCATTTTACTCATTTTTGCACAAGGACGCTCATCTATGCACATTCTTGGTCATCTTGGTTCGGTATTGGAATCTGGAGATTGAGGGCTCCTTGGATGGCAGGCGGGGCACCTAGGGGGGTTGGGCTTCTTGAATGCCAGGTGGGGGGCTCACAAATATTTCTAACCACTTTTAACCACTTTCGTACTTCACCACGGTATATAAAAAAAATATCTGTGCCATATCGGATTTTGGCCACTTAAAAAAAAAAAAAAAAAAAAAAAAAAAAAAAAAAGATTTTGTAAAAAAGTCGGGATTCAACCACCCTAATATGCATGTCACTGTGCCCCACCTCTCCTCCTAGATCCACCACTGTAGTTCTCGCCCTAACTGGCGATTCTTGAAATTTGGCAACACTATTTCTCCTGCATTTAAATCCATTGAAGATATAGATTTAAGTTGCCCCACCAAAAATCGATTGTTTTACACACATTTAAACGGAGGAAAAACAGTGTTGCCAATTTTCAAGAATCGCCACTGCATATGGGCCAGTCCGCGTATAACCGAGTTCGTCCGTAAAACAGAAATCTGAAATTTTCGCCTTGCACAGAGCTTGGTTTTCTCTCAATTAACATTTTTAGATGGAAGAATGCAGCTCTATCGAGGTAAAGTGCGATTTTTAAATAGCGCGGAGTGAATCTTTTTGACGAGGTTGATGAGACTGAGGGATGCGGGCGAGACGTTGGAGGGGGGCATTCGAGAGTAAAAAACTGAACTCCGTCTCGGCAAGACGAAAATTGGCTCGAGGATCCTCCTTGAGAATGAATAAATTAATCTTTATCATTATCCGGTGAACTTCCGAATACTCGTTCGGTTGGCTTGATAATCGCTTTCGAAGCAATTATGGCCGAGCTCCGCGAAAAATCGTCGTTCCTCTGACGCAAGGGCGTACTTACACTTTGGAATGAACCCCATTTCCCTTGTAACTCCATGCTTTCTGAATCTCACGTTGAAATGAAATTAAGCCCTTACTTCAGGGAAGTGACGAATAGAGTATCCGTCGAGTGGCATAGGTACGTCTATGCTACCGTGCTACGGAAAAACTCCGTATGAGCCTTTAAACGTTGCACGATTTCCTATAGTAAAAATCGATGTCTTGGGAAAACCTATGAATATTTTTCTTTCCATCTCTCACAGAATTTTACTCTCAAGTTGTTCTAAAATATCTGAAAATTTCCTTGAGAAAAAAACTCATGGCATTCCTTAAAATTGAACACTTTATCTGGAGAGATTTGACAACATTCAAAAGTTCATCCGGCGTTTTTCCTTAGCGGCAGTGCGGGTCATCCTCTTCTCGAGTCTGTGCTCGGAACAATCCTCTAGAGAGTTTGAATAGGTCCGTAGCAAACTTCAGTTAAATAAAAACAAGAGTCGTTTCTCGCGAAAAATGCCTAAAAAATCACGATGACGCTAAAACGAAGTCTACGACTTCAGATACATCAGCGCATTTTTTTCTGTTTCATGACTCTGCATGAAAACTCGGAATGACTGCTACCATGTGGCGCGATTCCTCAAATAGAGATTAAGTACTTCTTCCTGTTCATCGCATTTCTCGAATCGGAAAATTAAATACGTGGGATTAAAAGCGTTGCGGTACGGTTGTTTTTTGGAGAGAAACAGCGTCATAAGATCGTGGGCGTCTTACGGCAGCGGCCATTTTGAGTTTTTGAGCGGAGTTGTAAGACTGGGGTGACTCGTCCGTATCAAGTTATTATCTTTGGAGGCGAGAAGCCATGCTTTTACGCAAATTGTAAGTCCAATAGTGAATATTCCGACTTTAATCGTATGCGTTCAGAGCCCTCTTTTTAAGCGTGCCAGTAGGGCTCGCTTTTTGAAATCACTCGGATGTACCATAGTACAGCACACCGATCAACCAATGCTATTCAACGGGTCGTCCAAATATTTTTTTCCTCGGACCCGTTTTCTTGTCTTTGAACCATTATACTGTCAAGCCCTGATGGTCTCTTACCAAAAAAACCGAATGAACTGCTAATTGGGAACCCTTGAGAACATTTTCCTGTCAAAACCGTATTATTTCATTTGACAAAAACCTCATAGAAGCTTTCTTACGCTCGGAGGACTCAACTCTAGAACCTTCTTTCCCGCCAAAACTGTTTAGCCAATGAGCGTCTTGCACTGCAAGTGCAATCTGTGATGAGCCTCGTGACTCTTTATACCATGTACTAACCGTGGCCCCTGCAGAAATACACTCAAACCACTGCAGTTATCTCCCGATATAGCTTTGGGTGTCAGGTTTCGAGCAAGGCAATAAAAGACGGCGAGGAGAGGGTCGCCTCGTCGAACCTATTATCTTCCACGCCCGATTAACCATTCACCGTGACGCCAGGATCCACCAAATTTTCACAAAAATTGTTTTCCGTCTATTTAGCGAGTTTTTCCTTACTTTCCGTTAAAGTAAAAATAAAAAGAGACCGCATTTGTAAAAATCGGCCGAATAGGAGAGAAGTTACAGTTCGAAATCCAAAGAGATTAACTCAACGCGATTTCGATGCACGGCAGTTCGCCCAAATCACGGTCGTGCGAAATGCCGCATATCAGCTTAAAATCAAGATAATTGGACGGAATCTTTAAAATCAATTTACATTCAACGTTCATGAATCAATATTTTCTCCCAAATTTAGCAAAAAGTACCAATTGATGCAAATAACAAAGACGTGAAAATAGTAGGTATGTGTCCAACATTTTAGTTATTCGGCACGCTTTTCCAACATATTCATGTTGGATTTTTCTGCTTGTTTTTCTTTTTTTTTTTTGTCCGTGAGAGATAACTCTTACTTCTCTCTGGCTAAAGTTAGCAATGGCGATAGCGAATGCAGCAGGTGCTTCCTACCCGAAACCAATTCCTTATTCCGAACCATTATTCCGAAGCCACTGCCAATTTGGCCCCTAAAGAGCCTCTAAAGGGCCCAGTGTCTAATAATCTCCTTAAAAAGGTACTCTGAAGAGGTAAAGGATCTAGCTATTTGATACCCATGGGTACTTAGCCACTTGCTGCACTGAGAAAGGTGTAATTTCCTTTACAATTTTCATGAACATGATTGTAACCTTTCTTATCCATCAGCTCCTTTTTATTTGCTTTTCACAGTTGCACGCTTGCTCAAATATTATTTCTTTTTAAAAATCATGATCTCTTTAAGTTCCTTTTATTGTATAAAGAGATTGCTTTGAGCGTCTATCTTTGAGGCATTTGAAACTGGGTTTATTGAAACTTTAGGAAATAGTTACTTGGACATTACGATCTAAATGCTGCATAACATTATGTAAAATAACCAACTTATTTCTCGGTTATACTTTAAAAAAAAACTGATGAAGTTAGAGTTTTATTAAAAATATACAAGAGTCAATTTATTTTAAGGAGGGATACATCAAGATTTCTCGTACATTAGCCCCTTCATGTGTGGAAACAAGATTTTCGAACAGGTGCGAAAACGAATTCAACCCTTAGGGTCGTATTCGTAGTCGTTCCTTAAATATTAAGGCTCCTTTAACCAATGCATTTCTCATAGCCTAAGGGTGTCTTAATGTTCAAGAAACAACTATGAATACGACACTCAGCATGCAACATTTGTACAATAATTGGTCCTACCAGAGGCAAGCCGCCTCTCCTGCGGGCTGATTGTTGAAATTGATAGACAAAGATATAGACAAAGAAGATATGAGGAGTATGCAGCGATCCTATTGGTTGATTTTGGCAGTTCTTATGGACTAAAGGAGAAAATGATGGACTAACTAAAGGGTCTTTCGTTGGTTGCCATCTTAGTCCATTTCCTACCACCTTTGTCCATTGCAAACACCCGCACGGAAAAAATTTAGGAAGCATTTACCATACTCTGGTTAAAAAACGGCACAACCAGACAGTGTGATAATTTCCACCAAAATTACTGTCGCAATAAGGAAAAATCGTGTTACTTTCAAGCTAATTTTGATGAGAGTTACCATACTCTTTGGTTGTGCCGTTTATTAACCAAAGACGGGAAATGCTACCTAATTTTTTTTCCCCGTATCCACCAATAGGATCCCTCCATGTCCTTTTCGTCCATCGCTTTGTCTACCAATTTCAACGATCAGCCTGCTGATTTTCATATTTTAAATGACTTTAAGAGGAGGGAAAACCGCGGACATCTCGTGAGAATGACCACTGTGAAGAATGAAGACCAGAGGCGGATCCAGCAATTTGGCATCACCGGATTTCCTCCATTTAAACCTACGCTAAATAATCGATTTTTGTCGGAGCATCTGACCCCTCCAAAAATCGATACATTTCCATAGGTTTAAATAAAGAGAAAGCGATGTTGCCGAGTTGCTGGATCCGCCAATGATGAAGAGGGGCTCAAGAGGCGTCATCGGCGATTTGCTTCTGGAAGAGACAGAAGACGTGGAGCCAGTTGTGGACCATGAAGGCGGTGGTGAGGACCTCGCTCTTGTTGACGAAGACCCCGTTGATGAAGAGCCGGGCCAGGTAGAACAAGCACTGGAACATGATGACGAGGAACTGGAGGAGGAGCCACGGGAGGAGGAGGACGGGGTTGGCGTTCAAGGCGCCCAGGATCATGAGCGTGTAGTGCTCCACCTCGATGACGGAGACCATGAGCTTGAGGTCCCGCTCGAGCCGAGGGTGGACGGCGTGGCTCTTCCGGACGCGACCCCACAGCTTCTCCGGGAGGTAAGGCCCGCCATGGAGGATCCGCACTATGTCCAGCGTCGCGATGAAGAGGCCGAGCAGGCCGTAGCAGCTCACGAACTTCGCCGAGCCGAAGAGTGACGGCGCGCAGACGCCGGAGTAGGCTCCGGGAGCCGCCGCCTCCGGGGCCGGTGGGGAGTAACGCTCGAAGAAGCTCAGGGAACTCATGCGTCACGCGGGATGCATAACTCCCGGTCGTCTCCACGAACGATCTCTTAAAATTAGTCTCAAAGCCCCGACTAAAGTTCCGACTAGTTTTTCTCTATTCAAGATAGTTTGGATCTAGCCTGAGTACGTTAAAATGCGTCGTGTTCACCTAGCAGGGGGCTCTGTCACCGACCCTCCTTCTTCGCGAGGGTTTCGAACCTGACGGTTAAGTCCGGACAAATGCGCGCTGGTTTCTGACGCACGATTTGGTTCTGACAAAAATTCGTAAAAAAGTGCCGTGTGCACCGCACAGTTGGCTCCACGACCGCTACTCTACAATTAGAGGCGAAGTCTATACAAATATGTCTGGTTTCGAGAGATTCTACCCTGGCTAGAGTAGGTAAATCGCATAAAACACGAAGACGTCTCTGTTAGAGATCTTCTCTTCCTGCACGCATACGCTCTGAAAGAATTTCAAATTCTCGGGTAAAGTCTGGACGGGTGCGCACAGTTTTTTTCTACATTTGAAAAATTCGGTTTTAGCCGGGGTTGATAAAAATTAATCCTAAATTGTCACAAGAAATGTCGGAAGTTAGCTCGGCTATTACTTTCAAGTTACGATGTTTTTCACGAAAATCGATCCATGTGGAAACTCGGAGTATCGAGAGAGATTTTTGCAGAGACCGACACAGTTTAAAATGAAACCCTTCGCACTATCTGATTTTACACTCCTTATTCCATGTCGATCACGGAGAGAGTCACTGGCATAAACTTCACAAATCGATGGGATTCCCAGTTGGGAAAATCCGAGATAACAGCACAAAAATTATCCACGAATGTTGGTCCCGACGATACTGCCAAAATCAAACGAGAAATAGCTCACAGCATACTTAAATATATTTGTTTACTTTTGTCCAGCATAACCTAAGAATAATACTCCTGGAACATGCCTTCACTTCGATTCGTTCACTGAAGATTCACGCAAATCCGAGTTGTAAAATTTTTCATAATTATCAGGCAAATTTTTTTTTTTTTAAATATTGCCACGCAATTCTTGGTGCTACACGGTGGAGTCAACTTATTAATTCATGAGCGACGTGAGATGTAACCTATCAGACAACACACAGGTTAGGGAAGTATGTATTTCATAGACAATTTACAGCTGCAGAGAGCACGCCTATCACTCATCAAAGTGGCCATTTTTTACGTCTAACCTCAAATTTCTGACAGTGTTAGATATTTACCTCTAACTTTCGTATTCAATTTTCGTCTGTACTATATTCATTCTTTTAGGGAAAAATACATCATAAAAAAAGAATCAGATATTAAATTTTTCAAAGGAGGAAACCATCAAGTGTCAACCAACACTTGATAGGACAAGATAGGAGAGACGAATTCGGCCTCGTAATGCAATTTTTCTCCGAAATCTGATTGGCAGCATAAAGCGGATAATTGCAAGTTCACGCCTCGCGCAATCGCGCCTTCAATTTTTTAGACGCAACACAGGCATCCAACAAGCACGAATAGTTGTATCTTAGCGCCGTCGTCGTCAAAGCGCCTCCTTTCCCGTTTTGTATTTCTATGTTGTGCTTGTTTCTGTTTGTCTTGTTTATTTTGTAGTAGTGCTTCAGGGGCTACGTGAGCATTACGGCCAAAGATAAAGGAAATGTAAGCGGGCCTCATTTTTTAACTATTCTCCCGAATCTGAGTGTCACCTAATTGCATTGGCGGATCCTGCAAATTGGCAACGTTGTTTTTCTCCCTTTAAACCTATGGAAATGTATCGATTCAAGGAGGGGCCAGGTGCTCCAACAAGAATCGATTATTTAACATAGCTTTAAATGGAGAGAATCCAGTGTTGCCAAATTGCTGGATCCGCCTCTGCCTCATTGGCAACGTAGAGCAGTGGACGAGTTTTCGCCTCGCGGCATCACGCCTTCACATTTATAAATACAACACGGACATCCATCCAGCACGAATAGTTGTATCTCTGCGTCGTCATCAACCCGCGTAATGGAGTCTCTTACTCTGAAATTTGAGAAAAGTTATGGAGAAATTTGCTCAATATATAATAAGATGTGTCCAAATAAGAACATTTTGAGGCGGGGAAAAAATGTTGAAAGGTCTCTCAAGCGCCCTGAAGAACCCTAGAAAACCCAAGCCGGATCAAATTAACTCGATTATCTCTACTATAATTTAAAATGACCGATGAGGAAGGGAGGGAGGGAGGGAGGTAGAAATAGCGCCAGTATGTTACCAAGAAGGTGAAAGTTTCAAAAAAGCGTTTCTTACCTTTAAAAACATAAAAAACATATAATACTTCAAAAACTATCAAAATCAGTTTTTAATTACAGATCAATTTGATTCGACTTGCGACTTAGTGTGCCATGGGTGTCTCGGACATCAAACGGTTAAAAGTCTTTATTTCTCTACTTTTTCGCAGCATTTTTCCAGTCTCATGATGTATCAGCGATGAAACCGCAAAAATGCGTACCTTGGTAGTGGTGTATCAAAGTCTCCGCCCCCTTTTCCCTGTTTATGAAGAGACAGTAGCCATATCTTGGCTTAAAATCTGGCAAAATATGTTTCATATTGAGCATAAAAATCTCCAGGTTTTTCGGAGAAATTACGTTAAGTGGTTTGTCTTGTATAAATTGGACCGCGTCAAACAGAAAGGAACCAAGCCACATCAGCTATTGCCAAATTTAATTGGGCAATTTAATTTTTTACGTGAACTCAGTTGTGCGGTTTTTTGTGCAAATTTCAGTGGATTTTCTTGACAGTGCGAAGCAAATTCCTGAAATTTTTTTAAAGAAATCCGCACTAACGTTCTCTCGTAAAAAATAAAATGTCCCTGGTATTTGGCTATAGCTGATGTGGAAGTTCCTTTCTATTTAACGCGGTCCAATTATAGTATGACAGGAAGTCTACAACGCCGCAAACAGAGATGCACGTTTCGCATTAAAAAAATCGACCTGTCGTGAAGAACCATTTCAACTGTTTTTTTTTTTTTTTTTTTTTTTTTTTTTTTTTCCCCTCCCTTTTTCCTTTATTTTTCTCCTTCCATGGGTATGATAGTTTTCTCACCTGAGACAGAGCAGACGGAGTTGCGAGCGGCCATGTAGTATGGAGTAAGGAAGTCCTGAGAGGATGTATTCGGGATGGACATGCAGTGGCGTTCCTTTCGATGCGGAGTCTCCCTCTGTCGGTCGCCGGGGGAACTCAAGCCAAACGAGTAGTCCCGCAGGTGGTCCATAGAGGTCGGGCTGATCTCCGTTTCGCACGATATTCGAAAAAGGGGCGCAGGGCCCCCTCCCGCCCACCCAACTCTCTCCCCCTCTCCGTCACGCTTTTGGCTGTCGTACATCACGATTCCGAATCTGTTCAAGGAACCATCATCGCGAAAACGGACTCTGCGTCATAAAACCATCTTTGGCGATCTGAAACAAAAAAACAAAATCAAGTTGTTTTAATTAAGCTTGATGACAAGGAGTTAAGGTGAGAGACTTTCAAAATTCAAAATACGCATGGGTAAATTCGCATAATGACGTAACTCAGTAAACATAGAAGTCCTGGAATGCATACGGGAGACGTGCATGCGTTTGCGGAACTACCCTGGCTCCAAAGGAGGGCTTGGGGAATTTTCCTAGCTTTAAAGGGCGTCCAAGAAGCCTCCCCGGAAAATTTGTAAAAATGAGTCGTCTCAGGGAAAATTTTGAGCTGTTTTTGCTGAAACGTTTATTCAATTACAATTTCCGATGTTTTGTCGCGCAAATCCTTTTCAAAAACCCCCAACATTGCTTATGGGAGGGACCAAGTAGAGTTTGGAGGGGGGGCAGCTCTCCCCCCTGGTTCCGTCTATGCAAAGGATCACCTAATAAGAAAATACAGAAATTGAACGCGTGTACAGGTAGCGGGACGAGATTAAAAATTATTGGTGATGTTAAAGTGTTGAATTCTTGTCCTGAACTCTAAAATCGATGGTTTGCGATTTCATGCGATGCCCGTAAAATAATGAACCATAACGCTTCGCCGTGAAAAAACGCGTTTATCTCTTATCTAAAAGTTCAAATGGGCCACGTCATCCTCTTTTATTCACAAAACATAAGTGTGCGAAGGTCATTTATATTTTGATCAATAACCCTACAGATGTATGAATTTGCAGAATAGCTTCAATAACCATGTCATAGTGTGACGAAAAATAATCACAGAAACCAATCAAATCGCAATAGAATTCCCATGCTAATTGGTGACGTCATTGCAGTTTATCTGTGTTAGACTGGCCAAGAGAACGATAATGTAAAATTAATGCGTGCTAAAAAAAAAATAACTTCCTAGCAAGATAGATAGCATTAATCTAATTTCCGTTTTTTAAAATTTGTTTATTGTTAGTTCATAAAGTGCCTAACTTTTCTCGGAAAAAATATTTGATCGGGAGAAACGAGGCAATGTTGAAGTGCTCATGCGGCGTCAAAATATAACATGGGTCGTTTGAGTTCTATTATTCGATGCCGCGCGCTATTATTGTAACGGAAGTTCGAATAATCGCGACAAACAGTGCAGCCGGCGTTAAACGTACATTAGCTTAGTGTGCGCGGTCGGAGCACAGCCCATATCAGCGCCTACAAGACTGCATGAATACTTCTCGCATTGCGCCAAACGCAGTGCAGGCGGTTGGTTGGCCTTAAACGCATATTTTAGCGCTTAGCACCTACAAGAATGTATAGGAATGCTGTTGGACTGCGAGTCATCATTTTTGACTTTCTGCTCAAGTTTTTATCATAATTAAAGGGAAAATATGTAGCCTCATTGTAACAATTCAGAAACTCAGATAATATTTAATTTTGTCTTGGTTACATTAACAGAAGTTATAACGAACGAAAACATCGCGTCGAAGTTTTTGATACTTTTATTCAAGATCACTAAGGTAAATTCGCGGAAACTTTTTAGAAAAACCACGTGTAGCTTTTTAAAAACATATATCAAAAATATAACATGAAAGTGGTGCATAACGTTGAAATCAAAAATAAATATACGCTTTCCTTCGGGTGCACCCGTCGGGTTTTGAATCCATTCATCTCTTAAAAAACTTGAACATGGTTGTTCTACGATTTTTTACGTGTAGCTTAATACTCATCCTGTAAAACTTTTTGAATTTATGCGCTCCACCAAACTTAAAATTTAACCTTTTCCCTCAACCCTTTTGTATTTTTACTGATTGATTTCCATGTAAACACACAGAGGTGTAAATGGCCTTAGATGCTAAAGCACCGCTTTATAATAAACTTATGTTACTACTACTACCTTCCTTCCTTATTTCCTCAGGTTTTACCCGAAATTTTGAGGAGGAACTCTCCGACGCGAAGCCAGCAGGGTGACAACATTTGCGTCTCTCCATTTAAACCTGTGTTGAACAATCGATTTATGTGGAAGCGTCTGACTCCTTCGAAAATCGATTCATTCGCTTAGTTTTAAATGAAGATATTACAGTATTGCCGACTTGACGAGAAAAAAGTTTTGAGCGTTTCTACTATTTTTTTTCTCAAATTGTAATAAAAGAGATGAGCAATAAAGCTTGATATGATGAACCGCATGTTTTTACGGAGGTTCTCCAGGTTTTCACTGAAAACGATATCAAATCACATTGTTTAAAAATACACCAGACTATGACAAAAGCTCAATTTTCCTAAAAAAAATCATTGGAAACTGCGGCAATTGCCGATGGAATCGAGTGAACTGAACGACTGATTTATGGACGACCTTTGGGAAATTAATGGTGAGAAAATAAGAGGGTGTAGACTGTAGACAAGATAATGAGTCGGAGCCGCGCAGCAGTTACCTTTTTTTTTTTTTTTTTTTTTTTTTTTTTTTTTTTTTTTTTAAATCACCGAGAGGAAACTTTGCTCTAGGCAGCTCTTTTGTTGTTTCCAGTAGGAATTTGTGTATTCAAAGTTTACGTGGAGATTAATTTTTCTCTTCCAAAATTTAACTTAAAGGAAGTTTCATAACGCAGACAAATATGTATTTGACATTTGATATCTATACTGATACGAGGAGTTTCCTTAATTTTATACATCTGTATTCTAGCTAAGTGAATATCATTTGCCCTCGTGATTCAACGCCATCACTCTACAGTAAATAAGTAAAATAAGGTTGCACAATTAGCCTTATTGTCTGATACTCACCATGGCCTTGCAGTCAAAAATAAGGAAGGTTAAGAGGAAGAAGACGACAACGAAGAAGAAGAGGAGGAGGAAGATGATGATGATAATAACTTACTTATGAACATATATTATGTATCAGCAACTAAAGTTTAAATTATGAAAGCCAGAAGACGCATAGATCAAAGAGCTTTTTTGAGTATAAACTTTAGAGTTGTGAAAATAGTGATAATATGTGTATATTGGCATAATAATTGTGGGGTGAATATTGTCACTATTGCGGAATGACGAGGGCTAATTCAATTATTCTCTTCAATTTTGGAAAGCGTAATGAAGAGCGGCTAAGACCGGTACTGCCTTGTGGAGACAGAACGCTGTATGAGCTTTTGAACGTCGCCAAATATCCCCCGATGAAACGGAAATTTTCAAGGTAGCTTATGAGTATTTTTTCTCCAAGTTTCCAGCGAATTTTATTTACCCTTCAAGTAGGAATGTCTGAAAATTTCAAGTTATAATATTCATAACGTTTCCCAAAAATAAACGTTTGCCGAGAGGAATTTCGCAACATACGAATGTTCATACGGCGTTTTTCCGTGCTACAGAGGAGTGGGTGTGATCCGACGAAAGAATTCTGGCCTCTTTTGTGTGCGCTCGAATAAACTTTGTTGGCGGGACAGCGAAGAACTATGCGACAATGTCGAGTAGGGCAGGGGGGAGGGAGGTATTGTCCAATATGTGAGCTCATTGTTGCACATAACAGAGAGGGACTCAAAAAGCTGCGCTGCGATGCCGGATTTAAGCATCACTGTTTTGGCGATTCATATTAAATTATATTAATTTAATTAAATTAATTAAATTCATATGAACTGGCCGGGAGATAATATGGCTTTGTCATTAAGTGCTACGTAAAGAAAAATAAAAGTGCTTCTTACTCAGCACTCGACTGCTGCAAAACTATATCATTCCTGATCAACTAAGTGCCACTTTACGTGAAACGTCTTTATAAAATGGACTAAATTTTGCGATTTGGAACTATCAATTCTAGCCTGGTTTAAAAACAACGTATGTGTCATTAGTTTCCCTATGCACATAAGTGTTTTTACGGATGAGCCAGAATTTATAGTTCCGAATTGCAAGATGCAGTCCAAATGTTGTGAATGATCGATTTTCGATATTTCCTCATGTGAACCGATGTGTTTCCTCATGTGTAGTCGATTAATAAGGCGTTCGTTGCAAACACCCTGTTCATCAATGCTTTTCCGCAGGTTTAAATGGTAGATCAATCAATAAATCGCAAAGCATGCCAAGCCACTGGTAGAAAGTAGAGGGGAAAAGAGATGGAGAGGAGAAAGGAGGAGAATAAGTAAGTAAAAGAAAAAGAGGAAGAAGAGTAGGAGGGAGAACACGGATAGGAATAAGATGGAGGAGGATACCATCTTCTTCGTATTTTTTATCACATAGTTTGCCATCTGCTTTGTTCTTTCTTATCGCCTACCTATACTTCTCTTCGTCTTCATTTTTCAATTAAGACAAACTTGAGTCCAGCAAAGTGGATTGATTGCACTACCTTACTATCCCGCGAGCATAGATTCGAACGGGAACGCCAACGCCAAAAACTGACACGAGGGAGCAACACTGCCGTGCTGAGGAAAAACGCCGTACAAACCTTCAGGCGTTGCCAAATTTCCGTAGGTAAATCACGAATTTTCGGGAAAATTTTCGCTTCTAATCTTTCAGATAATTTTGTTCGCAAATTCACCTAAACTTCTTGAAAATTTCTCGGAAAAATATTCATAACTTGCCTCAAAAATAAACATTTTATCGAAGGAAATTTGGCAACTCTAGAATTTTCATACGGCGTTTTTCCGTAGATCGGCAGAACAGATACCAGCCAATATAGATTTCATGACATCATGCAATATAGCTTGGAGCAGAGGGATCTTAAATACATTTTTGTTGTTTAGAGACCTCACGAGACAACTGCTCGGCAGTCTCATTGCTTTCCATGTAATATGCAACTATTAAAGTTTTCATCTCCTGTCTAGCAGTATCACTCAGTGGCGAGGCGTGAGTGATCGATCATCGATACTTCCCCATTCCAAGCAGCTCTGCTCCAAAGGTAAAATGCAGTTTCCGCGCGTTCCAACTTTAAAGACTTGTCTTTCGGTAC